CTTCATTATTCAGTCATATTACTATTGACGATCAACTAGGTAGATATAAAAAGAAACAATCAATGTAGTTTTGTATTCATTAAAAAAAAAAAAGAATTAAAACTTGTGTAAATGCAACTTTGTAAGTACTTCAAGGAGTATGTCAGGGTGAAAAAAAAGACAAAACCGCTGTACATCTCTGCAAAGCGTGCACATTTGCCCATGTTTTATCACTTTAATGACCCTGCAAGCAGGCCCGGACTTCCCACAAGGCCACCGAGGCCCGGCCGCGGGGCGGCAGAGCGCAGAAGGCGGCAGCGGTGACCTTGTGGGAAGTTGCGGGCTCCGGTGTAAGGTGTCCGCCGGCCGCAAACTACGAAAGTACAGACATTTATTTGTTGCACCTTGGTCCCATGATGCTGTGTCCTGGGCCTTGCCCTAGGATCACAGCATCGTCCTTATTCTGAGTTAAGGGGATCACATTAGTGGGCAGTTCCTGCATAAATGGAGGCAGCATTGCCCAAAGAGTGGGTGTGATATGGGTGGGAACGCTTGGAAGGCTGGCTAATACCTCTACATAGGCTATCCTCCATTCATTGTATCATAATTGCTACTGCTAGACGCATCTACCTAACCAACCGCTCAGTGTCTGAAACCCCCCTCAGTCAATCCCACCACTGGCTTCCATCACCCACCAATCCCTGCACTGGCTTCCAATCGCCCAGAGGATAACATTTTAAATAGTAACAGCCACTTACAAAGCCATCCACAATTCTGCCCCTGGCTTTATCTCAAACCTTGTCTCAAAGTATCACCCTAACCGTCCCCTCTGCTCTTCAAAAGACCTCCTGCTTTCCAGCTCCCTCGTCAACTCCTCCCATACTCGCCTCCAGGACTTCCCTAGAGTCTCTACCATCCTCTGGAACTATTTACCCCAACCTGTCCGTCTATCTCTTACTCTAACTGGCTTTAGGAGATCCCTAAAGACTTATCTCTTAAGGGAAGCCTATCCCGCGTCAAACTAACCACTCAACCATCACGTTCTCAAACAATGAATTCCCACACAGCTCCCTCCTCATGTATCACTGGTCCCTCCCTTCTATATTGTAAGCCCTTACAGGCAGGGCCCTCCTTACCAACTTGTCTTGAATTGTATTGTAATTGTAATGTCTTCCTTATATTGTAAAGCGCTGTGCAAACTGTTGGCGCTATATAAATCCTGTATAATAATAATTAGGAGCGGGACCACAAGAAAAGCATGCATGATCTGCGCAAGACCGCTCAGAAGGTGGGCATGTCAAGCATGGTTCATGGGCACGGGTGACAGCATCCCGAAGACTGGGATGAATATGTTACCAAGTATGCTGTTGATCTGGCACAAACGCACTCAGTTCCTCATTTCTTAATGTGTGCTGACGCAAGATTTTGTAGACTGAAATCAAGAAACATTATCCCAAGTTGTGCCCAAGTTGTCTTTTGCTAAACTACATAATACCCCCCTTTGCCCAGAGAATAATTGTTCTTTAGTCTGAGATAAGAACTGGGAGGGCTGTTTAGGCTCTTTGGAGATAACACAGGAACAGGATACAGAATTTTTGACAGGAGCAACAGGAATTGTTTTGCACTTATCAAACAGATATATATAAAAAAAACACTTTTAAATGTATAAAGGAGGAAGTAAGAGAAGTTTATTGTTAGGGTTGAAGTACATTTTAATTTGTATTGACATCAACCTCTTGTAATGTGACGCAGAGGACTAGGGGGGATACTGAGATATAGGACATAGCAGAGGGATGATGATACATGAATGGCCTGCTACTCCTTCTCTGACCAATCACAGACTGCATTTAGGGATGTGACCAAGCTGTATTGTTTAAATCAGAGAAAAATCAGGTCACCAACCTTGCTCTGCTGGGCTTAGTAAATCACAGGACTAGATGGACAGAAATACAAATCCTTTGGCAGGTAAAACAGTTCTCATAAGTGTATTCTAACAGTGTATTTTGTAGTTTGCATGGAGTTTGTAGAAGGTTTAACCCTTTGTAAAGGATTGCAAACAGACTCCAGGTACTACCAGGGTCGCAGCGGTCGCAATTGCGACCGGGCCCTGGTGTTCCGCCACTTGGGGGGGCCCAGCGAGGAAGAAGAGGCCCGCCCCCCCAGATCGTGCCGCTCCTTCCTTCTTGCACAGCCACCCGCAGCACGTACGTGCGGCTGTGCGTCAGGGATGGAGAGGCTGTCACTGGTCCTTAGCTACTGCATGATGATTATACAGCAATGCAGAATAGCACCAGCTATGTAAGACTACAAGTCCCAGCAATAGATTATAGTGTGGGGGGGGGGCTGGTGATATTCTGTAGTGCTGACTTTTATTATAATATATTGCTGGGACTTGTAGTCCAGCACAGCTGGTGGTAATCTGCATTGCTGTATGATGATTATACAGCAATGCAGACAGCTCCAACTATGTAGGACTACAAGTCCCAGCAATACATTATATTTTTAAGTAGAGATACACCAGTGCCAATACTGGGCATTTTCACGAGTACTCATACTTGTGAAAATGCCCCGATACTAAACGCAGATACCGGTGTTATGTTGAGAACACCGACGTAGTCGAATTTGCCGACCTCAGCATCTGCGCTTGCGAACAGACCAGTGTTATTGAGGAAACCGGGATTTATTCACAGAGTATTTCATTTTAATCGTTAATTGCGACTGTTAATAATATTCCATAATTTCCTGCCATCCATCATTTACTGCCATGGACGGTATATTTTTAACGGTCACAATTAACCATTACAAACGAATACTTTGTAAATAAATGCCGGTTTCCTCGGTAATCCCGTCTGTACGTAAGCGCAGATACAGGGTCGGCGTTCTTGACAAAACACTGGCACTAAAATTTAAACAAGCGGCTGCCTGAGGTCCCACACTTGCTGGGGACCTTGGCAGCCTTCCTGTTAACCATGCGGTGCCATGGCGGTTGGGGGAGGGGAATTCATGGTTTCTTGCACCGTGGCCCTGAAGGTTCTAGTTACGGCTCTGACTCCAGGGCTCCATTTAGCTGTGTAAATCCGCTATCTGGCTTTGCAGTGGAGGTGCATGTGGCAGCTGAGCTGCTGTCAGATCACTTCCAGGGGTAGGTGAAAGGTGCCCCCCAGTGAACACCCCCGTGTTGCTTCCTGAGCTCTGCTGCCCCTCCTGTGGGCCTAGGACCGGCATCATGTGTCACAAGATAGAGGGGAGAGAGACCAGCAAACATCCATTCGCCCATCTCCTCCCTGCGGAATGGAGCTGGAAGTGACACTGATTGCATCTTATTTGTTTCTTCTGGTCCTGGATCTTCTGGTTCTTTAGCTGTCATTCCCCGGCTAGAGAAGCCAGGGAAGAAGCTATTCAAGCACGATCTGCATTTTATCAGCTTCTTTGGAGTTGAAATGTGACACTAGGGGTCTAATAGACTCCTAATGTCAACTTAAAGAGAAGCTGTCACCACTAATATACTATCACATAGGGGGCTTGTGAGCAATTGGCATGTCAGTGACTACATTTCTCAACTGGCACCTACAGTTTTACATAGATATATATTTATAGTCTATCTAATTCAATCCAAAAACAATATACAAAAACCAGCAGTTGATCCTGTGTAGACACCTAGCCCTAAGTGGGTGACTTCTTAAATTTAGTTCTGTTGGACTGTAACTGGGTTAAGCTGATTTAATAGTTCCGGGCTCATTTGGTTTCCCCTAAGCTCACTGTTATTATTAGTATTTGCCTGCTGCTGGGTGCGGCCTTGCAATAGAGTAGAACATCCAATAATGCTGTGCTATGAATAGGTATGTATCCCTGGCCAATCACTAGGAGGTTCTTGGCCAGTGGTGAATGCGGGGGGGCATAAAAATTCAGAGCTGACCTTGTGAGTGCCTCTTCCCCCAGGCAGGAGCGTGTGGGTGTTGTGCTGTGTACGCTGGCCAGACCTGCAGCCCAGGGAAAAGTCTGTAGGTGGTCAGGAATGGAGGCCCAATGTCAGGCTATCCTGCCAGCGAAGTGGGAAGCTGTTGCTGGGAAGGAGTGCCAGGGAGAGTGACTCTGTTGGAAGGTGAAGCTGAGTGAAGGCTGGAACCTGGCAGGGTCCTGGTGACTCTCCTTGAAGGAAACCAGAAGATGTCTGCTAACCAGCATCATCCACAATCGGCTTAAAGGCTCTCTCCGCTGAGAAGTGGTCAGTGAGTCTGAAGTCTGTACTGTCCTAGGTGTCTGTAGCCCGTCACCCTCTCTCCCATGCGAGCTATCAGAAGCATATGAGGGCCCCCAGAGGCAGGGTGGGCTGACATTCCTTCTCAGTGGTAAGTCCTTTGCCGGTTGTGGGATGTGAATGTAAAGTTGGGCGCCTGTCACTTTAAGGGTTTTCAAAGATTTACATTCACATCCCACAACCGGCTAAGGACTTACCACTGAGTAGGAATGTCAGCCCACCCTGCCTCTGGGGGCCCTCATATGCTTCTGGGAGTCAGACGGTGTACACCAGATCAAAGTAAAAAAAAAAGTCATATATTGTTGTCTAATTTGTTAGAAGCTGGGAAATGTTCTACTTGAGTCTCAAATGTAATTAGAATACCCCCTGGAGCGACATTCTTCTTTGAAAGTGAACAACGTTCCTCTGAGTTTACTATATACAATGTATCAATGTTGTATTCATTATGTATTAATGCAAGGTGAGATAATCACCCATTAACTGCCTCTTCTAGAGTGAGAATACATTTCGTTCAGCTAATCATTTCTCGCGCCTGAGATCCTCTATTCTTTTTATTCATTTTTTGTATAATATATTTTATTGAAATGTCAAAGTGCATGTTATCCAGGTTCAGGTTAATAAGCATCAACATGTGAAAATATTCTTCCCTCAGTGATGAAAATTCACTTTGCAAAAAATGTGAAAGTCACTAACCTAAACCACTTGATTTTGTGTGTTTTTTTAAGCGACTTATATAATATCATGTCTTATGTAAGAAGATGAATGCCAGAGTCTGTTAAACAAATCACCTGTGCTAATATGTTATATTTTGTATAATAATCTGAATTGTCTGCTGTTTCTATATTTCTTTATTCATTGCTGTACTTGTTTTCTTTTTGCTTTTCTTTTTTTTCGTGTTATGGGTAAAACTTAAAGGGTTATTAAACCCTCTGTTTTTTTTTGCATATATCTACGGCTAGCAAGCAGTAGATATATGCAAAAACCTTTTTTTTCAAAATCTCAGGCGGCCGCAAAGGATCTTGGGGCGGGCGCATGCGCAGTTCAGATTTTCGGACAGGAACAAGGAGAGACACAAGGTAAGTCTATGGAGCAGCATGCACCCGCATGCAGGGCCGGCCTTAGGGGTGTGCAAGCTGTGTGGCCGCACAGGGCGCCATGGCAACAAAGGCGCCAGGCGGCCGACACACCTCGTCCTCGGGGTGGCTTCTCCCCTCCTCACCGCTGGCCATCCGACATGACAGCGCTCCCTCGTTCGCCCTGCAGGGGGGGGGGCGGGGGCGCAGGAGGGAGCGCTGCCTGCTGTCAGGATGGCCGAGCGGTGAGGGGGAGAGAAGCCGCGCCCTCAGCTGTCAGGATGGCCGAACAGGGAGGAGATCAGAGCCACTGTCATCTGTGCGTGGCAGAGTGGGAGATCGGTAAATATCATTGATATTTACCGATCCTCCATGTGAGAAAGACAAACACTGGAGCAATCGTCTGATCACTCCAGTGTTTGCAAATAACTGGGGACATATAGTACTAGGTGTATAAGTACTATCCTTGTCGCACTCCTTACCGATATGTCCCTTGTAGTGGGGGGTGCTCGCAGTGACTGCGGATGGCGCCGCGAATGTCAGCAAAATTGTAGAAATGTCACCAGCACACCAATCATTTTAAGATAGCAAAAGCTTCATTTATTGAAGTTTTTTGTCATATGACCAAACAAGCGCTTTCGGGACCGCACGGGGTCCCTTCATCAGGCTTTAGCATTGAGCATAGTACTATGTGTCCCCAGTTATGAATGAACAGGCTGTGATTTATATCACAGCCTGTTCATTCAAGTTTTCCTCAATGGGGAGAAGCACTCACTACATAGGCTTCTCCCCATTCAGAACCTGGTGATAGTAAATATGAATGGGAAGCCTCTGTGCTGAGTGCTTCCCATTCATTGAGTGCTGAATGAAAAAGAAATTGAGGACTTGGTGTCCTCAATTTCGTTTCTATTTTAAAAAGGAAATGTCAGGGGTCTGTTTGTAGCCCTAATATTTCCCCGTAGCCCCCAACAGTAAAAAATAAATAAATAAATAAATAAAACATTTTTTATTTAACCACTTGAAGGCCATAGTGTTTCACCCCCTTCCTGGCCAGGCCATTTTTCAGTATTCAGCGCTGCGGTACTTTGACTGATGTTTATTCCGTCATGCAACGCTTTACTGAAACGATTTTCATACCATTTTTTGGGGACAGATAGAGCTTTCTTTTGGTGGCTTTTATTCACCAATGGGGTTTTTATTTTTTAACCCCCCACCTCCTCCCCACACACACACATATTATTAGACATGTGCCAAGACTAAAAATTCATTTCAGATGAAATTAACAAAAACTAAAAACGTTTCATTCGTTTCATCAAACAAAACAAATTTTTATGCTATTTTGGATTCAGCCATTGGCGTGTTCTGGAGGCAGGGCGCATGACATTGTATAACACCGCATGTGTTGGGCACCGCCATCTTGGTGTATATCTAGGTATACACCAAGATGGTGGGGCCAATATTGGCGTGTGACGTCACCTGACACCACGCATGCATGGCGTCATGTAACATCATGCTCCCCGCCTCCAAGATGGTGGCACGCATTTACAGAACACGCCGGTGGCCAACATGGCTGTCGCACATTCTCAAACAAATTATTATGTGCGGGAATACATTTTTCGTATATTCGGACATATAGTAATTCATTCATTTTACATGTAGTCTGGGTTTTGTGTTCTGTTTTTTATTTTTACTTTTCTAGATACACTTACTTGAAAAAGGGGTCGGCATAACAACCTGACACTTTATATTTACAGACTCTATTTTAGTTTGAAATTTATTGTTTACCTTCTGTTGTTTTATTTGATAAGAATACTTATATTGTGCTACAAGTTTAATACTTTTAAAAGTTTTATTTTTATCATACTTTTTAATATGTTTCTTTGCGGCTTAACAAAATAGGAGTCTTTAAATGGTGCGGATATTGGGGGAAAATGGGTGTGGTTACTGGGGGTGTGGCCACTGAGGGGTGTGGTCATTGAGGGGCGCTGTAAAGCTTTCTCGCACAGGGCGCCTAAAGGCCTAAGGCCGGCCCTGCCCGCATGCAGACACCTTGGGACAGGAAGTGCCGGCAAGCACAGAGGAGTCAGGACTGGATCGGAGACCTGAAACGGCGCTGGAGGGACAGCTGAAAACACGACAGGAAAGAAGAAGATGATCGGATTAAGAGACATAATTTAAGGCAAGTGCTAACATTAACATTGGGGGGAGGGAAAACAAATTATACTTTAATGTCACTTTAATAAAAAGTAATTGATTAAAAAAAAACATAAAAAAACTAAAAGGTAAAATTTTCCTTTCAAAGTACAAATTCCCTTGCAAAGTGAACAGACTATTTGCCTTTATTAACCCCATTATGTCCATTATGTTGTAAAGACAAGACAGTGCGAGAGTCATTGGGGTTGATTTACTAAAGGCAAGGAAATTTGCACTTTGCAGGGGAAGTTTCCCCTTAGATCAGTGAATGAGGTTATGCTGTGATAACTTCCGTCACCCAATCATGTGCAAACAAAATATCATTTTTATTTTTCCTCACATGAATAGGTGATGGCAGTCCGCAGAGCTTCACCTCATTCACTAAACTAATGGGAAATACCATTGCAAAGTAAGTAGCCTAAAACAGTGAGGAGATGTATAAGGGCCATACACATCTAAACAGTCCAGCTCTTAGCAAACTGGGACGCTCTGGCCTGCATCCTGCCCAGCTGCTGACAACCAGTGGATGTCACTGGTTGTCAGGAGGTGGGTGGGACGGAAACTTCCCATGCAAACCTGGTATGCTCTGGCCCTGCATCCCGCCCAGCTTCTGGCAACCAGTCATGTCACTGGTTGCCAGGAGCTGGGTGGGACCCCAGCCAGAGTTTCTTAGGTTACTAAGAGTCAGGCCAGGAGATGAAGAGCCTACAGAAGGCGGCCTCACTCTCCTATCTGGAGGCAACGTCTCCTTTACCCCCCTCCACCATCACCACCACCCAACTGCCCCCACCTGCCCTCCTCAGGCAGCAAAAATCTAAGGATACTGATGAGTCGTAGTATTTGAATTTGCCAGTAAGCTTCAATCGACAGCTAGTACTCAGTTCCAGATCAATAAGAGGATTCATAGAGGAAATATTTGATTTGCTCCAATTTACTTTGACCCTTTATTAATTTAGTTGCCATTTTCTACACTCTTTCAAGCTGTAAAACTACAGTATGTCCAAATCTGAACTGCATATATAAGATAATGTCCCCTATTATAAGATAATGTCTTACTAATGCTTAGAGGCAAAATTATGTGGTCTATTCACTAAGCTGCCGAGGGCAGCCGAGTGAACAACCGACCCCAAGTGAAGTGAGCCGAACGCTGTTCGGCTATTCACTTCAGGCTGGTACGGCTGAAATCAGCCGTATATCATCTGAAATCAGCCGTACATCGGCTTGCTTCGCATGGCTTCATGTCAGCCGAACATGCTCAGCATGTTTGGCCAATCGGAAGTGCAGAAGGAGTTCGACACAGCCGATCCAACATCTGGATCGACTGAACCGAACCTCCGGCAGGCTACTCACTGCTGTTCGACCTATTCTCATAGATGCTGAACAGCAGTGAGTGAATAGCCGAATGCCGCCGAGCGGCATTCGGCTCGGCAATCCTGCTCGATACCTCTATGGTATTGAGCAGAATAGAAATATAGTTAAAAAAGTAGAAAAAAAAAGAATAGAAAATGTTTGGGCGGAGCTAGCAGTGACAGTGTTTTCTATTGGTTCTGCTGCCGTCAGAATAATAACAAAAAAAACTCTCCCGGAAAGTTTTACTTTGCTCGATCGAGCAGAATAAACCTTTCCCTGCTCTGTTGTTTTTTCCCCCTTTTCTTCTGATATCGGAGCCGTTGGCTGCCATCAGAACAACAACAACAACAACAACAACAAAAATAATCATAGGAATGCATAGCTACATTCCTATTGGCTATTTCAATTTGCAATAGCCAATAGCAAACTAGCTATTGCACCCTCCCTCTGCTGCTGGGGGGTGCACTAGAGGGGGATGGAGAACTGATGGAGAACTGAAGTTCCCCTCTGCTGATTGACAGCAGCAGTGGGCGGGTGCAATAGCTAGTTTGCTATTGGCTATTGCAAATTGCAATAGCCAATAGGAATGTAGCTATGCATACCTATGCTTATTTTTTTTGTTCTGATGGCAGCTAACGGTTTTTGATATCAGAAGAAAAAAAAAAAAGAAAGACAACAGAGCAGGGAAAGGTTTACTCTGCTCGATCGAGCAGAGTAAAACTTTCCAGCAGAAAGTAACTCTCTCCCGGGAGTCCGGGAGAGTTAGGCTGTCTGGAGATCAGTGTCCCTGGTTATCTGGTAACCAGGGACGCTGATCTGCCTGTGCAAGTGGCCGGCTGGCTCCGCCCAGCAGTCTGTAGCAGGCTGTCGGCCTTTCGGCCAGCTTCGCCTTTCACCTCTGCTCAGTCGAGATGATGCATATGCCTTCAGCTCGACTGAGCCGCTCGGCCAACTTCGGGAGCTGTACGGTCTATAGTGAATAGCCCGTACAGCAACCCTTCGGTTCTACTGAACCAAAGGGGTCCTGGGGACAAAAATCTTGCCGAAAGATCAGCCGAAGCTACGGCCAGATCCTTCGGCAGCTTAGTGAATAGACCCCTATGTTTCTTGCTTGAATCTGTGCTTCTTTTAACCTGTAGCTCCATAATCTGTCATTTTCTTATATTTTGCCACATATGTGCCATATATAGTACCTTAGTCTGGAGAACTAGGAGCATGCATCTATGTGCTCTTCTAGTCCTAAGACTGTGCTATCCATAACAGCTGCTGGTTTAAGTCTATTGATCATAAAGTAATCAGTATGGTTCCTTATCATGTCAACAACAAGAAAGCCCATTATGGAGATCATATGAAGTCTGTTCATCTACAGTAAAGAAAATATAGCTAAAGAAGATACTTAAAGCTTTTGTATTTTTACTATTTATGTATTTAAAGAATTTCTGGGTATTGGTCTCACTCTCTTTAGGAACCGGTTGTTTATTTTGAATTTTTGCCAGCCTGATTTCTTTTTTACAGCTTTTGTAGTTTTCTTTGCAACCCTCCAATGATGAAAGAGTTCCTTTGGGTTTTTTTTTAATGCTCTTTTTTTATTGTTTATACCTTTATAACAGTAGAAGCAAGCCACACAGGTATTGTTTTAAGTCTTTTTAAACATATTGCCCATGGAGATATTTTATATAATGTGTTTAGATAAAATCAATTTGAAACACTCTGTTTGACCTTTTATTTGCTACATAAGCTGCATTCCCATCCAACGCTGCTGTAATAATACTATTAGAGCTGCAGACTGGAAAGACGGAAGGATAGAGTCATTTCTGCCATGCCTTTTGTAACTACTGTACCCCAGTGTAATAGATGGGCACAGGCAGAATTTTTAAATGATGGAGATACAGAAGGCATTTCAAAGGATACGTGCAATTTTATACTAAGTACTCTTATTGGCCCTCCCAACCCTCTGGGCAGCTTATTAACACCTCCTAGACTCCAATTATGCAAATGCCATCAACACCTGGTTGTGACTAACAGATTATGTGGATTGGAACAAAATTCACCACATTTATTCCCAGAGAATTTTTGTACAAGTCATTCTGAATTGAGAAAGCTGGTCGGATGACCAGTGAAACGTCTTCAAGAAAAATACAGCAAGTCCAGTTGCCTTGACTTATTTTTTTTACAGATATTGTGTTATGTTACATTTTTTGGGGGGGGGTTTGTTTGTTTTGGTCTTTACACTGAGCTATGTAAGGTTTTTGATTCTGCCTTATTTTGACAGGTGTTAGAAGTTCACACCGTTGTGTTGCATTGAAAAAAAGTAGAATCTGATTTATCTTTCAGTGGAGGGCAGCACAACACTATGTAACGCACTAGTGTGAACTGCTCCCATTCACACCCATTCATTCATCAGATGTCCTTGCTTTGGCATCCATTGAAAAATGGATGACTATGGGTTTGGTGTGAATGGGGCCTAAAACGACCCAGTCGTAGATGCTGAATACTTACCTTTGCAGCAGGTAGTGAGTAAAATATTTGATCGGTTGCAGGGCTTCGATTACCACGGCTATCTGCAATTCTGGGTGTGTGGGGGCATAGCGTGGTCCTTCCAGTAAAGTTGTAATTTACTGCTTGCCCCACGGTATAACCCACATAGAAGAATACTTACCTCGAGGGCCCATTGTGTTGCGATCTGTTAGCTTGCGATACATTTTTCAACGCATCTAACTAAGGACAGACCTTTCTGTAACCCTCAGTTACAGTCCATGTACCCATTGCACTCCTTACTGCTAATTTATAGTAATAGGTTGGGTGCATCAGTAGTCGACGGATGGCCACCGTCTGAGTAGTATAAAGAAATTATGGACACCGGCACTCCAAGGTAGTATAACGTCTTTTTATTGACGTATCATGCAACAATACACTTATTGCAACATTTCGGGGTCACACAGGATCCCCTTCATCAGGCTTAACAACTTGTCCAACTTGTTCTGCCTGATGAAGGGGATCCTGTGTGACCCCGAAACGTTGCAATAAGTGTATTGTTGCATGATACGTCAATAAAAAGACGTTATACTACCTTGGAGTGCCGGTGTCCATAATTTCTTTATACTTTCTGTAACCCTAACACACTTCTCACCCTGGGTGATAATTCTGCTTCTCCATTGCTAAGTACAAGTGTATTACTAGCAGGATCACCTGGTGAAAACTAATGCAGCCACCACATCTAAGGACTGGTAAATTGCAAAATGTGACATTTTTGTTCTTGGGTTTAGATATACTGAATTACATGCACCTTACTGAATTGCATGATTCTGTGCAGCACAGACAATTCTACAAGTACTGTATACTTTCAGAAAAACCCTTCACAATACATGTAACAAATACATAATAAATAAATACATTTCTTATTCACAGATTTAGCTGGATTATTATTATTATCATTGCAGAAGAGCATTAAAATTTAGTTCAAGCCAAAATCTTTTTGGAGAGGAAGGATTGGAACCCTTTTCTCGGTTGAACTGCTTTCTAGGGAACTTTTTGAGGTATTTTCTCTCGCTTCCTTTTCTGTTGACAAAGGTTTCACTAGACAGGAAGTCTGTCAAGGGTTCTAGCCTTCCCCTCCTCTTATAAAAAGCATTTTTATGTCTATCTGTATTGCAGTGAAGGTGACTATACATTGGTAGATTTTCATACTTACGTTAATACAAAAAATCTCAGTTTGTCCATATTCATTGTTAGAGTTTCGTTCATCACCCAAATAACTATTAATAAACATTTCAAAAACTTTTTTTTTTCGAACAAACTTGTGTATAACCAGCTGTAAAAGGTTTCTACTCACTTCCTATCTGGTAAAATTTTGAGGACATTTCTCTAATGGAGACAAGAGGACATTTCTCTAATGGAGCCCTAAATGGCAGTAAAAAATCCAACCTGGCTTTCAATTCTTCCCCACTGTATCCAAAGCTAAGAAAAATAAATGTTTAGCTGGGCATGCGTATTAATCGCTGTACCCTGGAAGTCTGATCATTTACACATAGATATATATATATATAAGAAGACTAACTCAAGTTTGCCTGGACATACACTTAAATCAATGTACTCCTAAAGGCTGCTCATTTCTACTTAGGTATATACACCGATCAGCCATAACATTATGACCACTGAGAGGTGAAGTGAATAACATTGATTATCTGGTTACAATGGCACCTGGAAGTGGGGGGATATATTAGGCAGCAAGTGAACATTTTTTTCCCTGAAGTTGATGTGTTGGAGGCAGAACACATGGGCAAGTGTAAGGATTTGAGCGACTTTGACAAGCGCCAGAATGTGATGGATAGATGACTGGGTCAGAACAAGTCCACAACTGTAGCTGTTTGTGGGATGTTCCCGGTCTACAGTGGTCAGGACCTACCAAAAGTGGTCCAAGGAAGGAAAATAAAGGAACAATGGACCTGGTCGGATAAATCACGTTTTCTTTTATATCATGTGGAAGCCTGGGTGTGTGTGTCACTTACCTGGGGAAGAGATAGCACCAGAATGTACTAAGGTAAGTAGGCAAGGCAGCAGAGGCAACATGATGCTTTGAGTAATGTTCTGCTGGGACACCTTGGGTCCTGCCATTCATGTTAATGTTACTTTGACATGCACCACCTTCCTAAACATTGCTGCTGACCAACTACACCCCTTCATGGAACGGGTATTCTCTGATGGCAGTGGCCTCTTTCTGCAGTATAATGTGCCCTGCCACACTGCAAAATGGTTCAAGAATGGTTTGAGGAACACAACAACAAGTTTGAGGTGTTGACTTGGCCTCCATATTCTCTAGATCTCAATCCAATCTAGCATCTGTGGGATGTACTTGGAAAACCAGTCTGATCCATGGAGGCCTCACCTCACAACTTACAGGACCTAAAGGATCTGCTACTGATGGCTTGGTGCCAGATACCACAAAATACCTTCAGAGGTCTGGTGGAGTCCAGGCCTCAACCAGTCAGGACTGTTTTGGTTGGAGAAGGGGGACCTACTCAATATTAGGTGGGTGGTCATTGCTGATCGGTGAATAAGAAAACAAACTAGATATTTTAACGTTTTCCTGGGCACACACTTATATCACTGTACTCCTGCAGGTTGCTCATTTATTCGTAGGTATATATAAGAAGATTAACCTTAAAAGTTTAATGCTTGCCTGAAGTTTTTCTATAACTGACAAAAGTGCTGACATTTTTTCTTGAATGGGCTGACGTTAAGTCATGTTTTGGGGGTAGCGGGGAACATATTAAAGAAATATGAAAAGGTTCATCTGGTATAAGTTTATGAAATCGGAAAAGCCGTGCCAAAGATAAATCAAGAAATACTGTGTCGTATATCCAAAATGGAACGGGAGAAGCTCATTTACTACAGGGTCTAACAGCAACGCTCTTACATTATTTGATTCCATTAAAAACAAAACCTTCTTAAATGAATCGGTTATTTAGCATGAGGGGCCGTAATGTTACTGGAATTAAAAACTTGATTAAACATAAGTATTTGTTGAATGAAATGAGCAAAGTGTTCTCCAAGCCAAATATGTCATTCGCAAATCTGAAACCTAATTTATTTCCCAGCAGATGTTTGCAATAAGGGGAGAAATGCTGAGTGAACGGGAAGAGCACCATTAAGCTAAGGTAACCTTGAAGAATTTTTATATAGTTCCCAATGGCGTACACCCACTATGTGATAAATATCAGAGGTTGGGCCGGGGCTCCTGGCTCTGCTTACTCTGCGATACACATTAATTTTTAGTCATGTCATTCATTTAATACTGCAATTCATATTTTTATGGGGAAAACTGTCATTAAAAGGAAAGCTTGTGCAGAAGAGGACAAATTGGGAAATGTATCAGAAAAGGAATGCAGATGATTGCATGGCTGAAAACTAGGGATGCACAGTTACCGATACTAGTATCGGTATCAGTACCGATGCCAAGTATTTGGGCGAGTACTCGTACTTGCCCAAATGCTCCAATGCCTAGCCCGTTACTTGAGCTTCTGGTATCAGGAGGCCGAGCAACAAGTCATTACATGCTGCCCAGCTTCCTGATTGGTCAGGAAGCTGGCCAATCAGGAAGCCGGATAGTGAGATATTACACGCCCCCTGGCTTTCTGATTGGCCAGAAAGCCGGCTTCATGCTCCCTCGTCACCTGGTGACGAGGGAGCATGGAGCCGGCTTCCCGGGCCAATCAGGAAGCCGTGCGCTGCATCATTACACGGCACCCGGCTTCCTAATTAGCCAGAAGGCCGATCCATGCTTTAGCGTCACCTGGTGACAAGGAAGCATGGAGACGGCTTCCGTGCTAATCAGGAAGCCGGGTGGCGGGTCATTAAATGCTGCCTGGCTTCCTTAATGGGACTTACTTTATTGGTATTCGATATTGGCAAGTACCGAAAAAGAAATATGGTTACTCATACTCGATACCGAAAAACCGGTATCAGTGCATCCCTACTGAAAACATATTGCATTGCATTTATCACATACAGAGACCCTATCAGGTTAAAGTGACACTACCTGTGTAAAGCAAACCCCCAGACCACTTTATACTGACTTCTCCTGTGATCCACTTTGGTATTTTAAAGAAGAACTCCAAATAATCCTTAACCTTTGCAGTAGGGCTACCTGTGCACTGCAAGGGTTAAGTGCTTGTTTTGTCTACGGACGAAAATAAAATAAGTTATACTCACTTGAACCCGCTAGACTGGGCCCTGCGATGGAATGTCCCTCAGCACCTTCACATCCTAAACACTGTACAGGAGGGGATGACTCACAGGACTTTAGACCGCCAGAGTGGTCCTCAATGCCTCTCTCTCCCTCCGCTCTCAACCTACTGCAAGGGTTAGGAATAATTCTGCTTGGAGAGCTTCTTTAAATACATGTTGGAACATGCAAACATCCAAGTGACAGGACAGAGAGGATCTCGTCCCGTGTTATTCCATGGATGGGTATCTAATGTATTATTATTATTATAAATATTATCATTATTATTATTATTCAGGATTTTTATAGCACCAACAGTTTACACAGCACTTTACAATATAAAGGAAGACAATACGGATACAATACAATTCAAGGCAAGATGGTTAGGAGGGCAATGCAGAACATTTTTGCTTTAACACACATAAAGTACAGCAGCCTCTTGCAAAATAGAAGCTGAACATAACACATATAACTTAAAGTGACATTAAAGTCATAAGGTTTTTAAACTATTTCAAATGCTATTAAATCACATACAATGGGTGCTGCTCCTTTGCACTTAGAAGGTTAAACTTCCTGCAGAATCAGCTGGTCCCATGAGCACTGGTCCTGATATCCTGTTTTAGGGTGGCTCCTTTGCCTTGCAGAGTTCTATGGAGCCATCCTTGTGTGTGCTAGTACGCTGTGTCTGTGCCCACAAACTCACAAGGACAGCACAGCAATCCTCTAGTTTACCTTTACTCCTTTCTCCCTTCTCCAAACTAGTAGATGGCCAACTGCTTCAGGCTGCTCTATCCCTTGTAATCTTGTACTGGGGAAGCTGAACTGAGAGAGTTGGAGCTGTTTGGAAACAGGATGGCTGTAGGTGTTTGGGCACAAATGTAAAGAAATACTTTGCTGGGCAATGTATATTTGTTTGATCTGGATTCATTATTGAAAATACAAAACACATATCAGAGTCCCCCCTTCAAATCTGGAGCCCCCCCTTCACATTAGAACTCGCCTTTCACATCAGCATACCCCATTTCACACTAGGCTCCCCTTTCCCATTACAGCCCACTATTTTCACATCAGAAGTCTACCCGCACCATGGAAAGATGTTGAGGCATTCCGTGGTGCAGGGCCATCTTTAATAATAATTGGACCCTGGGCAAACATTTTCTTTGGCCGCCTACCCTCTACCTGCCCCTCTCCCGCCATGCACTTTCGCTCTCCAAAAGAGCAGATAGGTGGAAAACTTAGAGGGAGACATGACCCTGCGTGAGACATCGCGCTATGCAGCGTATGGCAGGGGCTAAGCAACAGTACACAATCGCATAGTAAACAGAATGGTGACACGTGTGTTTCTTTTGCGGGCTCAAGGGGCAGCTGCTTTGGGCCCCACAACAATGACTGGGCCCCGGGCAACTGCCCTTTTTGCCCTGTGTTAATGACAGCCCTGCCGGGGTGCCCTAGAGTGTCACTTGAGTCTGTTGGGGCTGCTGACATCACATCCAAGATGGTGGCACTCAGAATTGGTCTCAGGGTTCTTGGAGATAAGGGAGAATTTTACAGGTAAACGTCTTTTAAAACACCTCAATGTGGTGACTGGCCAATTTGCAAAGTAAATAGTTGCTGGTGAAGTGAATTTTGGATCTGATTTGTGCAAATTATTGCAGAATAAGTTCTAATTGGTTTGGTGCTTGCCGCCCTACTTAAACAAAATTACTTTGGCAGCTAACTAGGCTTTTAATAAAGAGGGAGGGGATCAAACAAACATGTGGAGAATAGATACATCATCAAGACCACTTAATGGACAGCTTTCTGAAAAAAAGTCAGTTTAGGCATGGCATCTAGACACATGCTTCTAATGATTGAGTAGTACAAGAGCAGTCTTTGTCTCTGCCATGTTGAGACACAAAACCCAAACTTCTAAGCTTAGCGCTGTTTTTAATGGGGAGAGTATACCACCATCATGGCCTCAGAAAATGGTCTGCATCCCTGTGAGTGCCAGATAATAGGATATGATTACCTTGCATATGTCCTTAAGACATATTTACCCATACCCAAGTTAGAACATCTTACATAAGCAAGGGGTAGACAAATATACAAGTGAGACAACTATACTGTGAATAAAATGAGAACACAATGTAAGGTAGACATGTGCGATTCATTACATTCCGAATCAAAATTCGTACAAATGTTCAGAATTTCAGACATTCGGACACATCTGAATTTCCGAGTCCCAATGCATGCCAATGCGTCCGAATCCGAATTTCCGTTTCAGAATTTTGGATCCTGTCCAAATTTCGTTCACAAATGAAATTGAATCGGTGCTCCCAAATGGTATTCGGAAATTCAAAAATTCAGACTCCCGAGTGCCATTCAGGTCTGGGAGCTTCTGCTTTAGTATTAATATCTGTATATGGTTTTCTGTGGTATTCACAATGAGTCTAAAACCCAAAACAAATTGTATTTCGAATCTGAATTCCGAAATAACCAAATATCCGAGCTGAACCAAATCTTTCTGCAGCTTACATGTCTAATGTAAGGTATGGACATTAATTTAAGCTCTATAACCACTGCTGACTACAGAACACTTTACATATGTTCCCCGTTACTTGGAAGGAGCTCATGTAGCAAATTCTAGAGCCTAACCAGAGTGACTGTGTCCACTAAAAATCACATAGGTACAGGAGGGTCAGTACAACCATGTTAGTGGGTACAAAAAATGATAGCTGTAAACCAGCAGGTCTCAAAACCAGCCAGCTATAAATACTACCAAAGAGTGGGGAATAAGCTGCCCTTAAAGGAACCTTAACAAAAGCTGTTAAATAAGAACTGCAATAGGGGCCGCTGCTACTCTTCTGAATTTGAAATCCCATAGGGTTGTCAGATACCTTTATCCACTACTACGCTCTGTGGTCCCATCTTCCAACCCCTACATCATAGCTGTGTTCTAAAGGGGTAGGGGTCAGGGGATGGAACCACAGCATGTGGCAGGGGGCACAGGCATCCCACACTCCTGGAAGTGTTAAATGCTAAAGTGTCTGATGGAGGCTGCATCACTTCACTGGAGGGGACTGCCGTATGAATGAATAACAGGGTTGCTTTACAGAGAATGGACTTCACAGCAGCAAGCACAGTGCAGGAAAACCCAGAGAAGGCAGGCAGAAGAAAGGAAGCAGATTTAGCAGTAACTGGAGCTGCAAAACAAGCAGTAACTGGTGGTGGGAAAAAACAGCAGAAGATGTAAAAGAATCTACAGCAGTGGAAACAGAAGGACAACCTTCAGGAAGATGCACCAGTGTGTTCTCCAGCTGATTGTTCAAAGCCTATAGTTTCCAAGATGGCTGACCCTAATGCTAATGACCTCTGACCGTAGCTGAATGAAGCTACTGCTGATTACTGCATGATATACACTAATAAATGTATTCATTACAATAAACATTGTACCTCAGTGTTTCACCTACACTTCTCCTTTCTTCTATTTCCAAGTTCTTGGTTGAAGAAGGGATCATGTCAGATTAGTATGTATGTATATATTTATAGACATAAGTAAATCTAAAAAAACATAAAGCCACACTGTAGTCATTTTGTGACATTTCCAATCACATTTTGAATGATTTGGACATTTAATAATTGCGCACAGTTTGTAAGACATTTCGGGAAAAGTTCAAATGTGTTTTTGTTTCTTTTGGGTGTAAGCCAGAATGACGGCAGGAGAAAACTTATCTTTGACATTCTTATAGACAGTTGTCTATTGTGTAGCTTGAAAGTGCTAGGCACATCAAACAAGAGGGTTTGTTACATCAGCATATCCATGGGACGTTTCTATTAGAATGTAAAAAATGTCCTCGGTGTCAGCTCAGTATTAAAACATCTTTCTACTATATTATATCTTTGTATTCTCTAACTTTCTATTTTACCTCCTAAGTTTCTCTACTTGGCAATTTTCATCTTTTCCTCTCCTTTCCCCTCCTTTTCATCCCCCTTTAATTTACTTCTGACTTTCCTTCTCGCTTTCCTTTCCTTCTTCCTTTCCTCTCCTCTCCTTTCCTTCCTCTTTTCCTCTCCTCTTTTCCTTTCTTTTCCCCTTTCTTTTTCCTTTTCCTTTCCTTTTCTTTTCCTTTCCTCTTCTTTCCTTCTCTCTCTCCTGTCCTCTCCTTTCCATTCCCCCTACCTTTCCTTCTGCCTTTCCTTCTCTCTTTTATCTTCTCTCCTTTCTTTTCTTTTCCTTCTCCATTGCCTCTCACCTCTACTTTTTTCCTTTCCTTCTCCCTCTCCCCTCCTCTCCTTTCCTTCTCCCTTTCCTCCCCTCTCCTTTCCTTCTCTCTTTATTTTCCTTTCCCTCTCCTCTCCTCCTTTTCTTTACTTTCTGTTCATTTCCTTTCCTTTTCCCTTTCCCCTTTTCTTGTCTTTCCTTTCATTTTCCCTTTCATTTTCTTTCCTATCCCCACCTTTTCCTTTTTTCCCATTCTTTTCCCTTCCCTTTTGCCATTTTTAGCTCCCATTTCTTTCACCTTTCTCTTTTCTTTCTGTTTTCATATCCTTTACCTCTCTCCCCCATTGCCTCCCCATTTTTTAAAATCTATCTTTGTACATTAAGGTTGCTTTCTGCTTTCATATTTGTGTTATCTATACGCCTGCTTTTCTCGGTGATATCAATTTGAGTTGAATTCCAGCATCCTCGGGGGACAAGTAAACCCTATAATTTGCTTATTAAATATGCCGTCTGATTCTGTGTGTAACATCGACAGAAGCAGAAGGTGTAAGCCGAGGACCAGTACAGAAGAAAGAGTCTTTATAGAATTTATGATGTAGCTTCCCAGCCATGCACAAGTACATTTATTTTTAAATATGAAGGATAACACCAATTCATATCATATCATATGTATGATTTTATGCAGGTATGTAAACTCCTCATATAGGGTAGATTCTAAAACTGTCAAAAAAGAATCCCTTGCATATGCAAAAAAGATTTTTATAGACATCTTATATGTCAGGGAATTTCCTCCCATTTCATTTTGTGGTTTTGCTTTATGTTTGCTCCAGGAGACCCCTAACTCCGAGAACATTTGCCAGCAGCGAACAAATTGGTTATTAGATTGTCTCTATGACTCATGTGTGACTCGATGAGATTGTATGTCCCATCTTGTTAAGGAAAAGGAATAAAAAAAACAGCTGAACTTAGTTCTCCCTGACAGAACGTTTCATTTGAACATCCTTAAAGTTTACTATACTTTTTCCAGTGTCCAGATTGCTATACTAACAGGTTATTAACAAAGCTGCCGAAGGCAGCCGAGTGAATAACCGATCCGAAGTAAACAGAGCCGAACAACGTTCGGTTATTCACTTTAGCTCAGTACAGCTAATTTCAGCCGTACATCGGCTGAAATTAGCCGTACAACGGCTTGCTTCGGCTGGCTTCGGTTCAGCCAAACATGCTCAGCATGTTCGACTGAGCCGAAGTGAAGAACACGTTCGACCCAGCCAATCCAACATCTGCTTTGCCTGAGACGATCCTCCGACAGGGGGCGAATGGCAGTGAGTGAGTAGCCGAATGCCGCTTGGCGGCATTCGGCCCAGCTATTCTGCTCGGTACCTCCATGGTCAGTGAAAAAAGTGGGGAAAAAATGTAGAAAAAAATGTTATAAATGTTAAAAAATAAATACAGATTTGTTTAAAAAAAGAAAAAAAAGAATAAAAAAAAACAATTGGGTGGAGCTAGCAGTGACAGCTAGCTCCGCCCAACCGTTTGCTATTGGCTGGGACCTGCTAGAGTCTTCTAGCAGGGGTCGGCCAATGAATAACAACTGGGCGGAGTCGGCCGTGACATCACGGCCGGCTCTGCCCAGTTGTCATTGTTTAATGACAGTTCAGTGTTCCCAGGTAACCAGGGCATGCTGATCTGTCATAGCAACTGGGCGGAGCCAGCCATGAGATCACCGCTGGCTCCGCCCAGCTGTCATATGTGAGGCGAGAGGCTGGCCGTTCGCTCCTCTTCGGGTGTCACTTTGACATATGCCTTCGACTTGGCTGAGCCGCTCGGCCGCCTTCGGCTGCTGTACGGGCTATAGTGAATAGCCCGTACAGCAGCCCTTTGGTTCGATTGATCCATCTACTAGCTTGCAGAAGGGAGAAGAAGGAAGGAGGGAGGAGGAAGAAGGAGCGGGGAGCAGGAAAGAGGGGACTGCCTTGCCTTGCTGTGCCTTGTTGTGCCTTGCTGTGCCTGTGTGTTTGTGGAGACATACTCAGCATACTAGCATACACAATGATGACTCCATAGGACCCTGTAAGGGAAAGAAGCCACCTTAAAGGAGAACTATGAGGTGAGTGCTTTTCACTCACCTCATAGTTCTAGCCGACCTGTGACAATGAGACTGTCACAGGTCGGCTCAGTAGATCGGGAAGTGAGCGAACACATACAAGCGTTCGCTCACTTCTCGATCCTGTCACAGCTCTCTGCCATGAAAGGGGAGTGCCATGATAGGGGAGGGGGCGGGTGCAGCTGGCTCTGGCTCTAGATAGGCAGAGCCAGCTTACACTCACGCAGCAGGGCGGATCCAGACATAATTGTCGGGATCCGCTTCAGCTGCGGCATCTCAGTATATCGCGAGCTGTAGCTTGCGGTATACTACGGCATCTCAGTATACCGTGAGCTGTGGCTCGCGGTATACTGAGCTTAGGGTGACGGGAGGACGCTAGTTTGTGTCCTCCCAATACACTAAGGAGAACTATGGGGAAAAGCCCTAACCCCACAGTTCTCCTTTAAAACTGGATATCAGGACCAGTGCTCCGTGCGCCAGCTGATTCTGCAAGAAGCTAAGACAGAAGAAGCTACATCAACAAGCAGCTTCTATTGAAAGTGATTTCATCAGCATTTGAAATAGCTTAAAAACCTTTTGACTTTCATATCACTTTCAACTGGGCTTTAAAAATCTTTGCAAACCACAATTTGCAGTGATAGAACCTGAGTTTAAAATGAATTTTACTCGGATTTTATGTCACTGTTTAAAAGGTAAATCAAAGGTTTTGCAGCCTTCGAGTCCAAGATGACAAAGAGAAGAAGGAACAACGGACGTGCCAAGAAGGGACGTCGACATGTCCAGCCCATCCGAAATAGGTTGAACTTGATGGACATGTGTCTTTTTTCAACCTGACTAACTATGTAACTATGTGACCTTTTTCATTACATTCAAACAAGCATATTTGCTTCAGCAAAAAACTTTTATTGTCAGTTTTACATTTTTTTTTTGCTTTAAATCGAAACTTCCAGATGTAATTTTTCCTTTCATTAACACAATGCTACTGAGATGCTTACTAAAACTAAGCCGCAAGAAACACTGTACATTTTACAGTCTCTATAGTCTGATGGGTTCCATATTTTTTTTAAAAAGAATTTTAGGATCTATGGGATAAACGTATACATCTCATATGTAATAAAAGATTGCTGGGGCCCTTTTGTTCATCCATCAAGTTCTGGACTTGTGTAAATAATGATCTGAGTAATTTTTCTTTTTTAGACACTCATATCTCATTTTTTGGCCTTGACGGCTCCTGGAACCAAAATAATATCCAAGAGCCATCAGCTTGATGATGTGTTACTCCAAAGATGACATACATCTGGGATGTCAAACTGGGGACTCTGCTTCAAATACTACAACAACTTTTATGGTATATTAATGTCACTAGCAAGTAAAAAAATCGGCATCTCTTCATATTTCACAGCGCGTAAACAGGGTTATTTATAGCTTAATAGTGTTCATTAAAAGAAATAGTCTGAGATTTATTTTTTTCATACAATGCTTTACATAAATGAAAAATGTGTACATTTTTGTTATTGCTATTAATATTAAATGATAGTGGATTTTTAATGAACACATATTTAGAGTTATTGTAATACTTAAAGCTGAACGTTACGTATTATGCATAATGGCATTGGCCCAGTGTAATATGTCATACCTGATCAGTAGGCTGTAGCCTGAGCTACTACAGTGCTAAAGTGCTTCTGGGTCCTGTATGGCGCTGTACTGAGCAGCTTCCTCTCTGCTCTGAAAACAATGAATATTAGGTAGACATGTAAGCTGCAGAAAAATTCGGTTTGGTTCGGATATTTTTTTATTTCAGGATTCGGATAGGAAATTCAATTTGGTTCGGGTTTCGGATTTGGACGAAATCCGAATTTACGTTAGTTTATGCATATTCGTTGTGAATACCACAGAAAACCCTTGTAATAATCCTGTTGGTGTGAGTGGGATAGTCAACTGCGGAGTAGGCTTTGGATGACGGGACTCAGTATATGACTCCTGGTTATCACTCTCCAAATATAGTTTAATGGAGGTTGGAATCAATTACATAATTTCCCGTCAATTTGGGCTTTGGTGGCGTAGTCCTAGTGGACAATGCGTAACACAAAGGATTTCTGATAAGTAAGATTACTATCCCCACTGTTTAGTTCAGCCTCCCTAAAAGTACAGAGGTGGCTTCAGATAATGCAGCTCAAAATCGATATAAGAACTCGCACAGCCCCAACTGAGTATGATGGGGTTAATGCGGCAATGCACTTCAAAAGCAATATAATACTTAGCACAGTCTTAGTCAAAGTATCAAGGTAAGGCAGGCAATGCAAACAACCGTATTTATGAATCAGATCCGTATTATTCAGTGTATGCATGTATGCAAGTAATAAGCAATATATTATTCAGCTTAGACTTATTCAGAGTATGCAGGTACGCAGATAGTTAGCAATATCTATATCAACTCAATCTTAATCAGGTCTCCAGGTTATCCAGGTAATGCAATCGAGTGTATTTATGAATCAGATCCTTAGTGTTCAGAGTAAGCAGGTATGCAAGTAATTAGCAATATATAATTCAGTTTTGACTTAGTCAGAGTATGCAGGTATGCAAGCAATAGCAATTATGCGAATTAGCTCAGTAGTATACAGTGTATGTTGGTAATGCAAATTAGCATAGGTTCATTCAGTCCCATTGACAATGGCTCTTCTCAAGCCTGTGTCATATGTGGTAAAGGGTCCATAAGCCTCAGGCAGTACTACTTGCGGTTTTCAATAGACATGTGCGATTCGTTTCGTTATGAATCGAAATTCGTACGAATTTTCCTGAAATTCGTAAATTCGGAAGCATCCGAAAACTAATGAAAATTTGTACGAATCTGGATTGAGTTTCGGATACGAACTACGAAATAACGGATATTCCAAAACGGAACGAAACTAAACGGAACTAATTTTTTGACGGCGCACAAGTCTAGTTTTCAAGGAGCGAGGATAGCACAGCTGGACCGCAACGGAGTCAGTCCGCTGTGCGCGAGGAGGAGGAGCCTGGTGATGGCCCAGACGTGCGCGGCCCCGCATAGCATCGCTGGACCGTGGACGGGTGAGTCTATCACAAACATATACAGATATTAATACTAAAGCAGACTCTCGTAGATTCGGGATCCCAATTTCCGAAAATCATTCGGGAGCTCCAGAAAGCACTATGGGTCAGGGAGCCATATTAAAGCTGAGGTTTCCAGACCCGAATGGCATTCGGGATCCGAATTTCCGAATTGCATGCATGGGCTCCTGAATGCCATTTAGGTCTGGGAGCCTCAGCTTTATTATTATATGTATATGGCTCCAATAATTTCCGAATAGCATTTGGGAGCTCCCGAATGCCATTCGGGTCTGGGAGCCATATACATATATTACTAAAGCTGAGACTCCCAGACTCGAATGGCATTCGGGAGCTCCCACATGCAATTCGGAAATTCGGATCCTGAATGCCATCCGGGTCTAGGAGCCTCAGCTTTAGTATTATATATATGGCTCACATTCCCATGTTGCCATAACAAAAATACATATTCAGACCTATCCGGATGCATTAAACTGAAAAACACATCTGATTGGCCAGAAAAGTCACATTTTTGAACGAAATTCGGAAGCGTTCTGAAATCCGCAAAACGGAAATTCGGATTCGAACACATTCGGATGCATTAGGATTTAGAAATTCAGATGTGTCCGAATGTCTAAATTTCATAAAACATTTGTAAAAATTTTGATTCGGAACGAAACAAATGGCACATGTCTAATACTAGGTGTTCTCTGTTTGCACAAGGGACAGAGATACCATGACCCGCCTCTCAACCCATAGAAGATGATAATTCTTTTAAAGACCATCGATTCCTTGGTAGGCTTTTCCCTTCAATGCATGCTCGCCTCCACTCTTATTTCCCAGATTTTAGCTGAATATTCGAAATGCCTAAGCATGGATCTGACTACTGCTAGTGCTGGCTCTATGTGTAACGAGCTGGATGCTAGTCGCGTTATGCCTTGGATAACCCTTTCTTCTGTCTAGATCTACAGTGCGCTCTGGCTTAAGTGCTGGTTGGACCTCCTTTCAGGAATTCAGTGATTGTTGGCCCAGGGAGTTATTGTTTCCATTCCCTAAACCAAGAAAATTGCAGGGTTTTTAATCAAACTTATTTACAGTTCTATTCTTTCGCATATTGCGTTCCTCTTTGTTGGTTCTACTCTCCATCTCGCCTCAAATATACTGTTTTTACTAAACGCAAACATCGTGGAGGTGTTGGACTTCCTCGCATTGAACTTTATTATAAGGCGACATTACCAGACCTTATACATCATGTTCCCAGCAAATTATGGGTCCAACTAGAGTTCCTCATTTCCCCCATTCCTCCTTCTTCCTTACCATGGATCACTCCCCTTTTTCATCCCGTCATGGCTTTGCGTCTGGGACTCTCTTCTTAAAAAATTATTAATCTCTACTAGACTGTGACTTTTAACTCCCATGGTAGGAAATCTGGAATTCCCTCCTGGTCTTACTGAGGCGTGATTTCTAGAAATGGGGACAATTTGATTTTGCCTCATGTATCACTTGCCCCTCCCTTTTAGATTGTACACCCTCAAGGACAGGGCCCTCCTTACCATCTTGTCTTGAAATGTATTGTGATTGTAATGTCTTCCTTATATTATAAAGTGCTGTACAAACTGTTGGGGCTATATAAATCCTGTATAATAATAGTAATAATTTCTCTCCAATAGGCTCAGTTTTAACAACGGGAGGCCTCAATTCTCTTCCTTCATTGTTCGAATAATCCTCTCAAGCTCCAAGTAACTTGTTGGAATATTTTCAACCACGAGACTTCTATTCCACTCTGAAACGTCAATGTGCTTTACATAGGGATCTCTTTCCCTTCGGGGCGTCTTTGCATGGAGTCAAATTCCCCCAGTCGCCCTATCTCCACTACATATGACCTTTTACTTTCAGTCTCTTTCCTCGATATACCTAAATATGTAGAGGACTAGGGAAAGGAACTTTCATGTTCCTTTTCCAATCCTGACATTTCCAATTCCTTTACCTTAACCGAAACTGTCTATAGCTAGTAGAGTAGTCGCTGCTCCAAACTTGCTCGCGTGATGGACTATAATCTCACGTTTAGTTTACCAATTTGTATTGAGATTATACTCCATCACGGGAGCGAGCTTGGAGTGGTGACTACTTTACAACACACACAGGAACCATGGAGAACAAAAGTAGCCCCCCTCCAGAAGGAAGGACAGTGTCAGCACCAATTCAGAGATGATTTGAGGATCTACAGCCGAGTGATACACAAATAAGATAAATTTTTGTGAATAGTTAAGGTATTTTAATGTATTTTTAAAGATTTAACTCCAGAGTTTAGTGTCACTTTAATTTTCACTGTAACAAATCAAATTCTTACAGTGACAAAATTGGATTATAGCCTGCTTTAGTAATCTGAATCTGATTGGTGGTGCAGGAAGTGAGTGCAACTTGGACAGCAAAAACCCAACTATATGTCCAAAATGTTTCTGCAGTGGTTTGAATAAAACTCAATGTAACCCTTTCATGATTAGAGGTCATTGAAACTTGGATACCCAGAGCAAAATGTTAAAGGCATTTGGTACACTGTTATGATAAAGTCCTTGATCATGTTTTGTATTATAAGCTGGTGAATGGGCAAAAAAATGTATTCAGTGACAGTGACAGCTGTTGCCTGCAGGTTTGTTTGTAAACAAGCCACCAAGAGAGAGAGGCACAGTGACAGCTGAAACTGACTGGCTTGTTTGTAAACAAA